ATTGTGAACATTTTATTTTAGCTGCAAATATTTACCCCCTCACTCAATTCTTGAAATTTCTGGTTTTGACATGTGTTTGTGGTTTGTTAGTACTGTTTTGTGATTTTTCTTGCTTCCTAAGCAATCTCTAAATTATTGGGTGCGTGATTCTAGATTTCTTCCTTTTTTATTTTTTTGCCTTTCATTCTAAGTTTCGTGTAATGCCTTTGATTGTATTCATTTGCATAACTGGGGTTTTGAAATTGGAATTTTAATTTCAAAACAAGAGATTAGGAGGGGTGGGCTGGGAGACTGTGAAGTGTGAACCAATTGTACATGGCGAGTGTAAAGTTTGTCTGATTCACGTTTTAGTCCCCTAAATTGCATGCTAATGACAATGCTGGTCACATATTTAGTACAATTTGGAAAATAGGCTATGTTGATCAAAAAGTGGAATGAGCTGATAGCTGGGTGATTTTTTCTGCTAAAAGTATAAGCCAAAGATAAAATATGTGCAAGTTCCCATGTATATGAGCTCGAAGCTAGGAGGTAATTTTTGCTGGATTAGCCTTTATACGAGTACATGATTGAAACATTAATTCTTTACCCGATATCTGATCTGATGTAATACCTTGATTGCATATTTCACAAAATTCGTGTTTTACTTTGTAATTAAGAAGACGCTAATGTGTATTATGTGGTGAAGCTTACTTACCATGATTAACATGATTTATCTCCTGATACCTTGTTTTAAGTTTCCTGGAACTGATTTAGTTATGTAGCACATGCAGTTCCTTCTTTAGGTATTGTAATCAGGTTTAACATACGACATTGTTATTTTGTAGTTCCATTTATGAGGAAGGAAAGTTCTGTGAGGCTTTCCACTCAAACGATGATGGTTGGAGGGATTGTGAATCTTGTGGTAAGGTAAGGAACTTATGTTTGAACTTTGAATATCTGTGGTTCATGGATGTCGCATCATTTTCTTTCAGAATCATATTTTTCAGATGTGTCGACCACCCTTATAATTGCAACAAGTGTTCCAGTGTGATTTTTGATATACTGTTTGGAGGCTAAAGTCAAAATCAATATGTGTCAAAGTTGTCCAAAAACTTACTTAACAGTATTTTGTTTTCTATGGAAGGTTTTTCCAAATTTTTTTCCCAAATTGCAACTCGTTCATGGGCAAATAATAATATAGTTGTGGAAAGCCTTTTATAAGTACATTTTGATTGATTGAGAGACACTAAAGACTAGGCCCTAAAGTCAATCCTTTTTTTGTGCAGTTGGTCCATTGTGGATGTATTGTCTCATTTAATGCATATTTGCTGTTGGATTTTGGTGGAGTAATCTGCATGGAGTGCTCAAGGATTAATTTTGCTCTGGTAAGAGGGGGATTATTTTGACCTCTTGATGTCTTTCTAAACTCATTTATGTGACAAATTTGTCCTTGGCAAGTTCTTCGTTCTAGATTGTCACACTTTATGTTTCAGTGTGTCTGTCTATGGTACCCATGGTTGGGATTAATGTATTCAGCAGATCCTCCTGCCTCGGCAGAATGGCTTGTTGGTTTCCGAAATGAAATAGCATGACAGAGGAAATTATTGTGAGTCACATTCATATTACATTAACAATCTTGCCTGCATAAGGTGGTACAATGCTAAGCTGAATTTTAGTTGAGTATAAAGTTGGATATTAATTTATCAAGACCAATCTTAGACAATGTTAATCATGAACCTTTTGGCCCCTGATAGTCATTTTCAGTTATTTTGACTTGTGAAAATTAGGATAGATGTCTCCCAAAGTGCTCCATCTAAATTCTCCAATAGTATCCAGAACTCTTACAAGATTTTGAAGTTTACATTTTAGGCACGAAGCAGATGCCTGTTTCTTGAAGGTCAGCCAGATATCACCAGGCAAACTGTCATAGAGCCTCAATACCGGCCTCGAAGCAGTGAGATGGAAGTGCAACAGATATCCAGAAAGTATCCTGTTATATTTTACCTGTTTTTCTGTTGAGAGTACTTCACCAAAGAAATCTAGCTATACAACTTCGTGATTTATTATTCTTTTTTTTTTCCTTGAACTCAAGGATGCTGTTCAGCTTTTCTTGTTGTAAGCCTAGTTAGAACTTCTAAAGTCAATTGTCTTGTTGGCATACAATATACATGAAATGAATTGTCTTTTCAGTTTTAGTTTTTACTGGGTTGTATTGAGTCCTTGTTTCTAATGTAATTACTAGTACTGTACTTTTCCTTGACAAAGTTTTAGTTTTGAATGTGTGGTCACTCCTTTATTTGAGAAACTGCTATCTGCTACTGATGCTGACCTGAAACTTGCACGCCTTATAATACCAAAGAAATGTGCAGAGGTGAGTTTGTGGTATTCAACTGTGTAGTGTTGGTGGTGAATACATGTTTCTCATCTGTTGACTATTTGTTGCTTTATGAATAAATTCTTCATGAAGGATTGTGATCATCTTATGATATTGTCATTATGTTAATGGAAGCTTATAATCCTCCAGGCTTTCTTCCCAGATATTTCTGAGCCACGTGGATTTCTCCTCAAAATCCAGGATACAGAAGGCAAGGATTGGGATTTTAACTATCGTTATTGGATCAATGGTGGCAGTAAGATGTATATCCTGGAGGGGCTTAGAGACTTTATGATTTCAAAGAGATGGCAAGCAGGGGATACTGGTCAGTATCCTATCTCCTAAGGTTAAATGGCTTTTGATGACTCAGTGGTTTATAGTTACAAGGAAAAAGGTTATAACCAATTGCTATTATTCAATTAAGCAGATCATACTTGACAGTTCTGTGGTCATGGTAGGATAGTGGTTTCAGTCCAATGAACATTCAAAAGGGAAGGTCTCAATAACCAATGTTTCAGGGTTTTAACTTCATTTTCACATTGTATTGTGGCGATGTCCTCCTTTGTAGTTTGTAAAAGGGCCAAGTTCATGTGTAGCTTTTGCATGCATAGGTCCTTAAAGAGAGGAAATAGTGATTGTCTTTCCAGGAGGTACCCATCAGTTGCTGCCAACACTAGGAGTGTCATAAGACTAATATTACCCTGTCAGATTACCCGAGCAACATGGAGCTGTAAATGTGCTCTTTAGGACCCAAGATTATGAAAATTAAAGTTTTGAAGGTTTATTGTTTTTTTTTTTTTCAGCTCATGATGTCTCATGAATTTGAAACTTTTTTCCCTGACAATGTTTAAATTGATGTGTTCTGACAGTCACATTTTATAGAGTGGAACCGGGTGGAAAGTTGATAATTGGACTAAGGAAAACTTCTTCTCTGCAACCACCAAATGAGGTATGGCATTCAAAGTTATTTTGATTTGTATACTTAGGTTGCATTTGTATGGTGCAGGGTCGAGCTCGTAAGAACACTTTTACTCTTTTCATTTAGTTTGCTTTGCAGTTCTAACCATTTCAGTATGGTGATTCTAAAGAGAGCCAGAGGGGGAAATAAGAATTCTGAAAATATGGGAAAACTTAAAGAATACTGATTTATCAGAAATAAGGAAAAGACAGCTCACCTTAAGGATTCCAAAATTTAGGAAGGATGTGGTTTTTGTAGATTATCATATGACTTCCTTATCAAATAACATCAGAATATGCTATGAAATTGCATAATGTGATCTTTGTGGATTGCAAAAAAGAGAACGAGTTGTGATGCTTCAGTGAGATAAATGTAGACCAGAGTCTTTAGAATGATCATAGACCTTTCTGAACCACACAAAAGCGTGCGAAGAGACAGATACCCCCAGATACACAGAAGAAAAACATTATAAAATGGCTTGACATAATGTCAACTTTCTTGCTCTTGTCTGTCGATTGTTTAATACAACTTCTCTCGTTCGCTATCCCCAAGATATGCATTTTCTTTCTGTTTTCAGCTTGTTCAAAGTTTACAGATTTATGACAGACAGGCATACGGTCCAAATCTTAATTCAGTCTTCTGAGTTTATTTTATCATATATTTATTCATTTCGGCTTACATACGATGAAGTCAAGCCCAAGGAGAAGGTTCAAGCCCTGCTTTTACATGTTTAACTCAAGCTCAACCTTTGTTTTGGCAGAAATGAAGCCGGGGCGCGTACGAAAAGATTTAAGCTGAAGTCTTTTGCCTGAATTCAGGGAGTTGTTGTTCCTGACTGGATATTCTGCCTCCCCTTGGAAGCATTTATCACCTTTGTGGATACTCTGTCAACCACCAAGTAGAATCGGAGTGTTTTGAGCCAATCAAAATGTACCCTTTCAATCCAAACGTTGGATAAAATGCCTTTTTTGTGGGGGCTATTTTTTTATCTGTTCAAACTGCTTAAAGTTAAACTCAACCATGTGTAATTAGAGTGGTAGATTAAAGAGAGGATTTATAACCTCGGTCTGTTTATGTAACTGCTTGAGGAAGTATTTTTCTCGCCCCTTTTAATCTTCAGTTCCTTTTAAACGAAAGTAGATGCTTTGTCAGATGATCTTACTACTATATTTGCACGAATGGCCTGCCAACCGTATTTGATTTGATATTGGAATGGAGAAAGAATTCAATTCCCCTCCTCATCCTGTTATTTCTATATGGAACAGATCCAAGAAAGAGATAAAAAAGGAAAAAGGGTTCATATACTCGTGCTCTTACGCGACCAAAAAACTAGAAAGAAGAAAAGGTACTCCCAAGCTCCCCAAAAGTCCCGGTGCCAAACGAAAAAGAAACTGGTGGTGCAGATATCTTTTTAAAGAGCTTTTAGCAGCGGAAATTTGCCATCGAAAATTAATGGGAAAAAAAAAGAAAAAAGAAGCCTGCTGAAAACCTTCATGGTTGGCCATGCTTTTCGCTTATAGCATTTTGGTTCCATTTGTAAAAGAAATTTTACACGAAGAAAATTCAACATTTTCAATTTACATGAAAAATGTAAAATCAGTTGCCCTTTATCATCTCAATGTCAGGTCAAATGTACCATCTTCTAGACTGAAAATGTACTAAAATATGAGATCCTTCCCGGTGGCAGTGAGCCACTTAACAGTAAGTAAGGGCATAACAACAATTGTATCAACGCCTTTCCTTTCACGCCAAAAACAACACAAAAATATCAAGCTTGTTATTCTGACTTTGGTCCTCCTCCACCTGGTAAACTCCAAAACTTGAAGGCTGCTTCACTTTCTCCTACTCCCACACCCTCGTCCTCATAATTCCTTCACCCCCCCCCCCCCCAAAAAAAAAGTTCTCTGCCCAAGACTGCATCCTTTTCCTGTTTCTGGGTTCCCTTTTGTGTCCTCTTGAAGCTTAACACAAATGAATTTATCAACCATAAATGGCATGATTTGCCAGCGGCTTCATTACATCGTCGCTTCAAAGTATCCACAAAGATCAATTCTTTCTCATGGTAAGCCACATTTATAGGCGTCTCACCTTCATATAGAACATCTTTTTGTATGTTTCTCTATCCCTTTTCGAGTTATCCACAAAATTCAACTGGGATATGGCACAATTTCGGCAACTCAAGTTTAGTTACTCGAAACTCTGATTGTGCCGTCAGTCTATAATATGTACTTAATACTGTCCACATGCTTCTTTCCATGATTTCTTTTTCTTGAAAGGGAACTATAAGAATCATAGCGAAATGCCAATGAAATGTACGAGTGAAGTGGGCGCCACTGACAAACTTAAACTCACTACATTTGTTACAGGTATCGGACCCTTCATTCTTTACTTCTTTTTAGTACTTTTTTTTTACAGCTTAGTTGTTTTAATTAGCTATTTGGTTGTTGGCCGGTTGAGATTCCTTTTTGGTTTTGTGTATGGGTCTGAATGTGACGTTAAACACATTGCGATGGTTTGGTTTGAGCTTTGCTGATATCTTAACTATATCAACCAAATTGGATGCCTTTAAATAAAAATTGGAGCTTGGAGTTGGAATGACAATCCACATCAAAATATAACATGTGATTCTCTGGTTCGTAAATCTTTTTTCAGAGGGGCTGAAATTCCAATCGAAGGTGAGGTAAATTTAGATGGAGTTAATGCTTGTTTCAGCAAGGTATCGTGTGATACTACTATATCTTGTGAAATAATTAGTCCTAGGTGTTACTTGTGGACGAGTCTACCTTGTTTTAAAATCTCATTTATCTGTTGTATTTCATAACTTTCATTAAATTGTTGTCCCGCTCCTCATAGAGTTCTCTGCTCTTAGTATCCTGCACTTTTAACTAGTATTCTGAAATGACCTAGCCTTCTGGCATCTTTCACTACATGATGTTGCCAAATTCTACGTAGGTCCCCGTTGAAACAGTTAAGAGTCCATTCAAATGGAAAATATGGTTAATTTTGAAGTTTAATTTTTTGTTGCCAATCTTTATGTAATGAAGTTTGTGGTCTTCTTCTTAAAATACTAGGCCTGTTTAACTTATTATCAATGCATAAGTTTCTTCTGTAAACTGATTACATCATTTTGATTCATTCTGTAATGTTTCTAGCAGCAAATTTGGTCACTTCCCAAGCTGCGAATGCTTTGAGCAATGAAAGTTTCATGGTACCATATATTCAGTGAATCATGTCTTGTTAGTGTACTTTCACGAATAAGCTTTATGATGTATATTTACGAGGTTTTGCCATCTCTTTGGTATCAGGAGGCGCCTACTTCTCTTTTTGTTTTGGCTGATGGAAACATTACAGATTGGTTTGGAAGCCTTTTATATTCGGCTGGACAACAAGCAAATGAAGCTGTTCTAGACCAGTTGTCTGCCCTCAGTTTTACTAGGCATGTATTCATATTGTTGGATCCCTCAGTCTGGAAGAGGGTTAAGTTCTGAAGTGACTGAATGTTTAGCGCTTTGTTACATACAGTTTGGCTGTCATTTTTGGTGCCGGACTCGTAACCAGCCTTTCTCCTTGTACACTCAGTGTTTTGCCACTGACTCTTGGTTATATTGGTTAGAGACTAAGTCCCAAAATCTCTTGATTTCGTTGTTCTTAAGACTTCATCTAATGATGCCATTTGTCTTTACTGGAAATTATTCAGGGGCTTATGGTTCAGGAAGAAGCAGAGCAGCAGTAAGCTACCAATTGATCTCATTTGCTTTTTCATTCTGAAATCGCCAGATCTTCTGGTGTGAATTATAGCTTAGACAAATGTTCAAATGATGATTTGACATCCAAATTTTCTTGTTGAAAAAAGTCACATGTATGGCTGGCTGGCTGTTTGGAGTGACTGAATTTCGTTTAAACTGCCTACTAAAATCTGCACGTATAGAATTATTGGTGCTCTTATTATCTTTTATGTTGCATACTTCAGATTGTTGGGGATTCTCTTGCATTTGCCCTTGGATTGGCAACTACATTGGCATTGCTTGGAATAGCAGCCTCATTTGCTGGAAAAGCATATGGTCAGATAGGCCAAGGCTTGCCATTGGCTGCTTCTTGTCTAGCAATTGTCATGGGTTTTAATCTCTTAGAGGTGATTAACTACGTATCTATTGCTATTTTATTGTCTATTCATGTTACTGCTAACCTTTCCCCCAAGTTACCTACTGGAGTGAATTCAATTGTCAGCTGCATGGACTTTCGATCCAAATGAGATTTGTAATACCCTGGGAGTATACTGTTGTACTTTTATCTGCAGCGAAAGTTCTTGAATAGGGATGCTGATAAGCAATGGATGCCGAAAGTCTGTGGCTTTGCAGACTTGCTACAATGTGCCAACCTTAATTGCTTGATCTTAAATTGAATGAATTTTTTTCCACTCAAAAAAACTTTTTATGTTAGGCCTGCGTAGGTTTGGAATTGGTTGCATCTGAATCTGGTCTTTTTAGAAATTTAATCTGTGTGTGATCATCCTGGATAAAGTTTGTACATCTCATACCCTTGTCTTTTTTGTTCGAGTCTGACTAACGGCCTAAAGCATATTATGCAAGTTATGAATGGAAATGTTCAAACCTATTTGCAATTCCACTCCATCTTTCCTCTCGCAGATACAAGCATGGGCTGTGGTCTTTTTCTGCCTCTTATTCTGCTTGATTTCCGCATGCAAATATCTGCAAATAAAATTCCTGAGACTGATGGTCGCTTGCTATTGACAACGTTTAATCAGATCAATGTGTGTGTCTTCAAAGATAAGGGCTTTGATAAGTTAACCTTTAATTTTTAGAGGAATGGACAACTGTGCATGTTTTGTCCTCTTTTTAAATTTAATTGATTTCAGTACAACGTTAAGACAATTGCCTTTTATTTTGTCCTGCTAATTCTTTTTCATTTGGTGTTATTCTCCTGGCCAATGCTGCAGATAATAGAGATTCAGCTTCCCTCATTTTTTAACAACTTTGATCCCCGTGCTGCCGCAGCTAATTTTCCTTCAAGTAATGTGCATTTCGATAGTAGTATCAGCTAATTACAAAAGATGATCAATCTGGTTTACATAGTATATTGAAAATCTGAAACTGCAACTTAATTTTTTTGGCTGGGCAGGTGTGCAGGCATATTTGGCCGGGCTTACATTTGCTTTAGCAGCATCACCTTGCAGTACACCTGTCCTGGCCACCTTGCTCGGATATGTTGCTGCTTCCAGGGTAATTCAATTTGCATAAAATTCTTATATGCTGCATATGTTTTGTGGATAAATTAGGCAGGAATTTCTGGTTTAAGACACAGACTTGTCCCCCCCCCCCCAAAAAAAGGAAAAAAAAAAAACCAAAAACCTTCCCATGAAATAAAATGAAAAATAAAAGCACAATGGGGGGAAAAAGTGAAGACTAAGTGAACAGGAACAAGTCACCAAGGCACATTCCTGTTACAGTATATAGTCCTGCTGGGTATCATCTTTCAATAGATGGAACTTGTAAATGGTTCATATCACCTTGGGCATGAGCTCTGCTTGCGACCAATTTATCATCAAGGAGTTTTGAACTGCACTGGGGACAAAGTTTAAATGTTTTACCACTTTTGGTGTATTTATTTGTTTAGAGTTACGGTATTATGGTTTACGCTTAGTTCAAACTGATCAGGTAAATTCTTTTCTTTTCTTTTCCTTTTTTCAATTAAAAAATTTATGCAGGATCCAGTAGTTGGGGGCAGTTTACTTCTTGCTTATACAACTGGCTATGTTACTCCTCTGCTTCTTGCTGCTTCTTTTGCTGGAGCATTGCAGGTAGGCTTTTTTTTGCTAACTAGTTATATCAGTTGTTGATCGAGTTGTAAAAGCTTAGCTATCACTGGAGGGATATGTTTTATGGACTCATTGCCATTCACCTTCCACTGCCTACCTGACAGCAATTTGTTCTAGTCATTTACTCTCTTGATTTGAGAATTAATTTTTCTATCCCTTGAATGTCCGCAGAGTTTGCTTTCTTTTCGCAAGTTTTCAGCGTGGATTAACCCAATGAGGTAATCACTTGAGAGTGAATGCTACTTGACATGTAGTTGTATTCATAACACTTAAGCTTTATCTATCTGTATCTTTGTCTTCTGATGCTCATGATCTGTCCAAGAGAAAAAACCCCATAGTGTTCCTGTAGTGAATTTAAAACGGTAGACTGGACTAGTACTTCTCTTAAAAAGTTCACGTACCGTGCGGCTGTGTCACTTCCTGCATCATTGCATTCATGCTCCTTAGCATTGCTTGCTTCTAGTCTATATTTAAGTTTGATTATTTTGCTTTGCAGTGGTGCTCTGCTTTTAGGTGGAGGTGTTTATACCCTCTTAGATAGGCTATTCCCAGCTACTTCAATGGCAATGTAGGATTCAACTGGCACTCGAAGCAAAATGCTGATACTTTTAGAGCTGCTTTTTTTTCAACCATGTGAAAGCACAAGAAGTAAGCTATAGATCAGAAGCAGTTGTGTGAAAGGTTAAGGTTTCTGATAGGTACTGAACTGTATAAACATATAAAACATGGAGTTAGATATTGTGTAAAATACTGCAACGTACATTGAAATGCACAGAATCAGCTGAAAGGAGGGGGAAAAAAATATTAGACAGGAAAGCAGCAGTTTCTGTACCAACTTTCAAGTAGTACTTGAATGCCTACTAACTAAATTTCACGACTTTATGGAATCGGTATCTTGAGATGATGGTTTCCATTCAGTTAATGGCGTAAGAGATAAGAATGAAGACGGAGTTAGAACTCAGCAGATAAGGTCCATTAAGCACATCACTGTCAACATCGGTGATGCGCAGCCCCATGTAATGTAACTCTTTAATGCCCACTCCTGATACACATTTACTCGCTCAGGATTCAGATCCAAGAAGTCGTTAAATCCTTGCATCATTAAGATATAGTACTTGGCATTGTGAACTACAAGCTACCAAGCATTATGTCACTTCATTCACACCCAATTCTGATAGATTCCGTCACTGTCAATTGTTTTCCAGACTACCAGCCACAAAAATTTCGATTGCTCGTCTAAGGGAATGTGATCACAAAAATGGAGTACCATAATAATCTGTTTATGTTTTCTTTCTCCGTCTCCAGCAATGACATCACAATGTATGAAGGAAAAATTCTATCGGTAGCATCTCTTTCTTCTTCCTAAATTCTGGGGCTAAAGGTGAGGGAAAAAAATGGAGGAGGGCAGCGACAAAATGCCTCGACGAAAAAGAATTTTTCCATCCACTTAACTTTCGAAGAGAGAGTTTCTCTATGTGCATTTAACAAATTGACAAACGAACATAAAAAATAAAACAGCAGTAATTCGAAACTCCTCCCTGAATGTACTAATGTGCCCCTCGATTGATCATTTCCATGTATTGATTCAAAGACTCCTGCCTCTGCAACCGCATTTCCTCATTGAACTTCTTAATAAAGGCCTCCACCCGTCGGTTCAACTCGTCCTGACTCAGGGAGGCTTCCCGTTTGAGTTTGCCAGAACCGGGTGAGGGACTCAGCAGCGAGTTGTTGCTGCTGCTGCCGCCGCCAGTACTTGCGTCAGTTTTGCGGCGGTCAGCGAAGGTTTCGGATTTGATCATCCTCGGATTTTGTGGGGCTTGGTTATGGTGGTGCCGACCACCGTGCGTCTCCCACGTGTCAGATTTGCGCAAGTGCCGCGTCAACGGCATCGCACGCCCCTCCGTTATAGTCTTCCACGTGCTCTCCAGCGTCTCCTGCCTCTTGGGCTTCGACACCCCCAGCGCCGCTTTCCCACCTGAATTGAAAACCAAACGTCACGCAAATTTTACATCGTTGACCACCGACTACTACCATATTTTGTTGAAGCTCATGAGAACATCAAACACTGAATCAGGAGTAGCTGCAGCCCAAAAAAATTAGAAATCATATAATAGAAATGGACTAAAAGTCGGCGGCGGGGTGTGGGCTGCAATTAAGCCAATGGATAGATGAGGACAATAATAAAAAAAACGATATAGGAGGTGATTCGGACGACTATCCTAGTCTAGTCTAGTCTAGTCTAGTCTTGGGCCTTATCATTTCGTGACGGTAAAACGCTCATTTTTTGTTCACCGATGGCTCAATTACTCACCGATCTCAGGGGGACACTCTTGTCATTTCAACTTTCGTACGTCTTGGGTGTCTCTGTCTCAGAGTCTTAACCAATCACAATCCTTCTAGCTAACTAAAACTAGCTAAAAGCACAATCATAAATTCAAATTGGGTAACATCTTTTCTTTCAAAGCTAAAAGCACCATCTGATCCAACGGCTAGTAAAAACCAGACACTTCTCCGGCATAGTACCGTTATCAGCCTTTTTTTTTGAAAAAAAAAAAAAAAATCTCCCGTAACTTCAAATGGTAATCAGAAGTTCAGAACCACGAACAAATGAGTGAAAATATTCAATCCGGACTGTGAAGCTCAAATTACAAATTTACAATTATCAGGACCACTAAATCGAAACATTTTCCGGAACAAGTTTGCATGTGTCACGGTGAGCTTGATACCTAAAAGAGGAAAAAGAAAAAGTGAAGACGAATGAAGTACCTTGATCAGGACTGGCTTTCGCCGTTCGTCGGTGGCCGAATCTAGCCGAAACCGGCGGCTTCTCGTTCGAGTATAACGAAAGCTCCAGTGAATCCGTCCTACTTATCCCCGGAGATGTTGATGTGGATGACCACGAAGGCTTTGATACATCTGCATAATTAGATTCGTCTCCATAACCACCATTACTCAATTCCGCCACCTCACTCACACCAACAAACTCCTCCTTTCCATTATCATCCACCAAAACCTGCTTATTTTCGTAGTAATTGCTGTTTATATTACTGATACTACTAATGGTATCGTTAGCCCGCTCATAAACCTCCGGCGGCGCCCTAACACTGGCTGTACCAGCAGCCTCAGCCAGCCGGTCGACATCGGCAAACTCGTGCGGCTGAAGATGAGGCACAACCAAAGGCACTGGCTGAGGCTGAGGCTGATAATAAGCGACCTGAAACGGCGTCGGTTGAAGTTGGGGATGAGTCGGCAAGGGTGGAGTGACGTCATGGTGGAGCTTTGCTGCAGACTGGAGCTTCGAGGAAGCAACAATGGTGATGATGATGCAGTTGATGACGAGGTAGAGGTAGGGAGGCTTCAGCCAGGAAACGACGCCGTGGTACAAGGAAGGAACTTCGGTGACGGCGAACTCTGTGATAGCCGGTGCGGAGAGCTTCAGGGCAACCGCAGCTGATAAAACGGTGGTGGATATCAAGACGAGTTTGAGCGAGAGTATGAAGTTGTTTGAGGCTTCTGGGAAGAGGATCGACATTTGAGACTTGGAGAGAGAGAATGGTATAGGATAGCAGTAGTACTACTACAAGTATAATTTCTTTTCTGGAGCGGAGCAGGGAAACTATAAAAAAGAACGTTAGTCTGGGCCTGGGGAGACGCTTTTATAGATGGCAAAAAATCATTTTTTTGGAATTACTACTATTATTTTTTTCTGATTTGATATTTGGGCTAATTATGGCGTAGTACAATATTTGACTTTGGAACATGCGTACTTTGAACCGGAAAATCATATACCAAACCATATAGTTGATAATGCTTATACGGTTCCATATTTTATCAATTGGAAAATCATATATACTAAACGATATATTTCAGTTGATAATTGGTCAAGCCACGTAAATAAATTAAAAGAACTATGAACCGTTGAAGTAGAAGCTTAATTATTGCCTTGGGTTGGGTTCTTGCATCGAAAAATTGTGTATTAAGCGATATACTTGATAGTAGTACTATAAATAAATTAAAAGATGGCTTATTTTCTACATTATAAACGGTTGAAGTCGAAGCGTTGGATTGGGTTGGGTTGTTGGGTGGCTATTATGGTCCAGGGCCCATGAAGTATGAATGATCAACTCTAACGAGTTAATGTTTAAAATTATGTGTTTATTCTAAAGAATGTGTTTGAAATTATGTGTTACTCAAGTAAAGTCTAACCAAAATGTAAAAGTTCAACAAACACTAAGGGTGCGTTTGGTTTTGCAGAATTGGAATTGAATTGGAATTGAAATTCTATAGAATTGGAATTCTATGAATTATAATTCCAAATCATTGCAATTCTTTCGTTTGGAAAATGCATAGAATTGATATGGAATTTGTTTGGAATTCCAAATTCTTTGTTTGCATGAGAGAATAATTCATTAGGAATTAGAATTGTTTTCATGAAACATTTGCTTACAGAAAATTTTTCTTTTTCCTTTACTATATAATATTTTTTTAACATTTAGCTAATTGTTACTAAAGCTTTAAGGAAAAAACCAATTTGTACCTTTAATAATTTATTTTTTCTTGCATTTAGCTAATTGTTACTCAAGCTTTAAAGAAAAAAAATTAGTTACTTTTCTTCAAAAAAAATATTATTCTTGTTTCTTTTCTTCTTAATTAAATTATATTAAATAAAAAATAACTATATATTCTAACTTAAAAAGTAATTAATATTTATCAAGTTAAAACCTTGATACTTTTTATAAAGCTAAGAACTTTAAATTTTAGAAAATCAAAAGCCTACTCTATGATATTAATTGGGAAGGAAAGTCATAGCTTGTGCCTATTATAAAAATTTGAGTTTTGTATCTTACAAGAAATTCCAATAGATGAATATGCAAACAAAGTGACTTTAGCAAAATAGAGAGAGAGAGAGAGAGATAAGCACAATTATACATTGCTACTATTCTTCAATAAATGGCCAATCTAATATTAAATTAAGTCCGAATAAGTTCCTATCAAATTTCAAGGCTAGGAATGATTTTGGCTAATTAGTGTATTAAAAATGCTCACAGTAAACAACTGCAACCACATGTAGTATTGGTGAAACAGTGACATCCATTTTAATTTTCTTTCTGAATTGTCAAAAACCATTTAATTGGATGAATGACAATAAATTAGAATAAAAAAGGCACAGAGCAACATTTTATTATTATTATTATTAATTGTCTCTTCCATTTACACATGAGACAGCATCATAATGACATATTATCCCAATTCCATACGAGTTTACAAAGCCTGCTGGCATACATAACATAAAGGTAACACCTAGTTCACACAGGCCCTGTGGTCTGCTGAGCCCTGGAATAGCTTGATACAGAAACAACATTATTCAGTATCATATCTCATTTGCATCCGAGTCAGAGTGAAATTGTTACAAAAAGTAGCTTCCCATATTTGTCACTCGAAATTAAGAAGACAAAACCAAATTTCACCATGCCAGAGGGATATGAGACGCTGCTAAAGCTAATGGCCTGCAGAAGTAATTACTCTGTGTTAGGATAACAACACATATTTGTTTCTCTTCCAGCTCATACATGAGAATAAATTCATAAGCATTTTGATCAGCCATCTTACTGCCTCACAGTATAACTATAACCATTTCTCATAACACTTTATTTCCATTTTGCAGTAAAAAAGTGTGTCTCTGCGATGAGAAATTCGTCATGTGTAACCAATCAAATGAAATGCTAAAGTGAATCTTAACAGAGGTTCAGAAGCAAAGCCAAAAGAGGTGGGCCTAATGTCTGGTACAATGAAAGCTTTTCAGCATAAAGCAAAATGTAGTTTACACCAATCACATAGTAAACCACTGTTTGGCTAAACGGCCATTAGTGGATTCCATCACAGATCT